TGGGGGTTCGCTGTACTCCTTATCGAATGTGGGTTAGCTGAAAAGCAATGCTATGAAAGGTGTACCTTGACCGCAACTTCTCGTCCACTCTGTCTGTGAACACCACCGTAGACGGTGCCGAATTGTCCTGAACCGAGTGTTTGATCACTCAGAATCTGAAAGCATTGAATATGTGTGACTGCCGTATTATTATTATTATTCGGATTAGAGCACTGATATGAAATGAGAACAGATTGTATTGCGAGTGATGACCGACAGGGCTAGATGAATACCTGATAAAGCTCTGTAAACTGTAGGGCTGGCTCCATATTTGATGTATCATGGCGTGAGGGCGGTGGTTGCAGGGCTTGTTGTAATGCCTTGAATTCGACTTACTATCACATAGAGTTTAGTGGATTTTGAAAAGGAGTTTTTGTAGTCAGCGTCATCAGATTTCGAAATGATGGCTCATTGAATCAGTGCAAACTCGTTGGGGTTTTGTCTTTCAGAAAAACAAGACAGCTAAAGTTGTGAGTGAAAATGACAAAATTAGGTTTGGTTTTGCAACTAAACGGAAAAATTTTTTTTGAGGAATTTCAAAAATGAAGCAGTGAGTAAGAACCTGAAACCACATTTGTGCGTTCGCATTCGCTTTACCGCTTGTATGGCGCGGCACTTTGGTTGGAGGTGCTATATACGAATCCAAATTCTCGCCCACACAATAGACCATATTCGACATTGTTCTTATCTCGAAACAATGTGGTGGATAACTGAAATCGAATCAAGAAATACTTCTTTACATTATATTTACATTATGTTATCATTCCTTAACTAAATTGCAAAATAATTGGAAAAGCAAACATAAATATGACAGTATCATAATGATTGCAATGAAGTAGAGAAGTACCAAGTTCGAAGTATTCCATTTCAGTTAAATATGAAAGATACCATAATGGATAATAATAGAGAGGTGATGGATTGAAAGCAAAATCAACCTTGAATGAACTGGAGGACCTTCATAAGGTACAAGAATTACAATTTCACCTAAGGGGATTGTACGGTAGACACGATGTGGATTGACACCTGCAACACTTAATTTTATTAGGGCCTAATAGCAATCACAATCTTGACTATTCCCCATGACATACACCATTAATGAATGTTTGTCATCTGCTTGATCTGTTGCGACAGTGACAACATGCCAACTAACCATCATTGTATTCGTTGTACATATTGATAGCACCTCCGGTTAGTATCCAGTAGTGCCTGAGACGACGTTCGGGTTGATCCAACATGAAATGTATCATCCAGCCTTCAGCTAGTGATGCACGATTACCCGTTCGACATGAGGCTTGACCTGTAATTTTGGAACTTCTCAAGAGTGCAGTATGACCGCAACGGTCTTAAAGGTGTCACATTCACTCTTTGTCACATACGGAAGTAAACAAAAAAGTGCAGTCTGATGATCTATGACCAACCGTCAACCATAACGCTGAATAGTAAATTATGAATATAATCTTAAAATTGTATTAGGCAATACAAAGTGAAGGGAAACGTTAGCATTGAGTAGTTTTCTTGGAGAAACCGGTCTAAATAACCTGACAATGCACCAGAGAGACTTCAAGTTTACGTTAGGAACTGATTATGTCATTAGAAACTGATTTGTGGAATACTTTCAATCATGGTTGATTAGTGGCTTCAGGTACGTTACCAGGAAGACGTGAGAGTGGAATCATCGAGTCTTCGGCTAAATTTTCATCATTCGTAGATCCAGAAACCAGTGAAGTACCATCGCTGACACTCATTTGGTCGAACGATGGAGTGACTGATCCATCGGCTACTTGGCAATTCAGCGGCAAATTTGGAGCACATTTCTTATGGACATTTACCTGTAAGTGATTAGGTTTTGGGTAAAATTAACTGGCTGTCCCTGTGATCTGATCAAAAGCACACCACTGCAGCTTTCGTGGTGGAGTCAGTAGCGCGTTCAGATGTTAACTGAAAGATTAGTGGTTCAAATCCACTCGGTAGTAAGGGATCCTGTGCAATGATGAATCAACAGCACACTTGTCATCTCGCGTTGAGAGATTCAGTTTCGCTTGATTGATTTCAATTCCAAATCAACTGTCACTTAATAATAAGTTAAGTTTCGTAAATTTGACGAAAATGAATGAGGATAATTTGACACAGGGAAAGTCTTACTTCAAGTTACAAGGAAAACATTGTTACCAACGAGTGGACGTAAGCTATGCAGTAGAAATTTAAGAGCTGACTCTGTTGGGTAGGACTTGATTACTGGGGACATCATTTTGTAATTCATATCGAGAAATTTGACGACTCGTCATATTGACGGAATCCAAGAACTCCTCCTGGTCAATGTGAATATTTTGACATCAGAAATCTTGGGCAAGTTATATATGTAGTGTTTTTACCTTACAATCGCGGCATCGTAATCCTTGCTTCATCAAACCAATCAACACTTTATCACAAACTTTACAAACGGTTAATGTTTTGTAGTTATGAACAGCGAGTGTATGCGGTAATTGGAATGCTGAGCTTTGCGCACAGGCTGCATCATCTGAACTACGAGAATGCATTGAATAGAGACTGAGTTTGCGTATTATTCTTTGTGAAATGGTTTTATTAACGGTTAATTTGTAGCATGAAGACGATTATGGCGATGAGGTGACTGTTTCGTTCTACTACAACGATAGATTATTTGATAAGTTCGTGTAAAACTCCAGTAGCACACTATGGCTACTTAGCGAAAAGCTTATTTCGCTAGCAGTGATAGCGTGCTACTGTCCATCTCTGTAAAACACCGAGTTCGAAACCAATTCATGGATCAAATTATGCATTTGGAATTGATGAATTATTGAAGTTACAACGGGCTTCCGTGGCGCAATCGGTTAGCGCGTTCGGCTGTTAACCGAAAGGTTGGTGGTTCAAGCCCACCCGGGAGCGATAAGTTTTTTGGTTCAAAAATGTTCATCAACATTGCGATCAATAAAAGTTTTCTGCCAGGTATTCTTGGAAATTTACGCCTATTCAACATTTTTTGTTCACTGAAAAAGAGATTCAGATAAATCGACGAGAATGAATATGTGCTATTGTTTGAGAATGAATGACACTGTTAAGCANAAGCACCTGTTGGTGCGTTTCGATGCAGTTGAATATTGTTCTTGGCACAATTATTTCGCGGTGCAAATGCACATTTCTTGTGGAAATTACATCTGAAACAAACAAAAGAATTAGAGGAATAAATATGCTGAAAGGTTGCATAATGCTTCGTGCAGCGTTTCACTCATATTACGTGCAGTTAATGTCAGCCTTTGAATCTTTCTTCAGCTGATAATTTCATGTATGGGTGTGGGTAAGATTACGATAAGATTATTGTTAGTAAGATTGCGATCAATGAGAGAGTTTTGGAATAAATCTCGTCACTGCCAAACAGTCAACTTTGAGTTATATTGTCTAATGTAACGACGTCTGAACAGCCTTCACTCGTATACGTAATGAGTGCTATTGGGATGTACGTTAACGAAACATATCATATGTTGAACTCAGAATTGCTGCAGCCAGTACCTGCATTTAGCACACTGCAATCCTTGCTTGATCAACCCAACCAGTATTTCACCGCAATAATCACAGAAAGTTGGTGTTTTATAAGAGCACACTGATAGTACGTGAGGTCGGGTTGGCCGTTCATTTCGATCGATCATTATCACTTCGACGACACTTCCATTATCCTAAACATATTACACTTCTT